ATCCTTTACTATAATATTTTATCCTAACATCCTTTTAATCCTTATCCATTGCTTTACTTTTAAAGTAAAGATTAACTTTAAAAATGCATGTGAAATAAAGAAAATTAATTGTTATTATTTTGTTTCCATTAGTACCTCAATGTCTTTATCTCCTTTCCCGAGGCAATTTCTGCAATTCCTAATCTTGGAGCAATTCCACTATCTCCTCGCTCACCTCCTGCTCTTAGATTGCTGCGTACTGCTAGAAAAATTAATAAAACCACCCATTTAGTCCATTAAAGTGAATAGTTTCCAAACGCAAGGTACTACTTGCCTACTTCTTCCCCAGCTCTCCTCTCATTTCCACAAGCAGAGAGATGAACTCATCTCCTACAGAGAGCACACAGGGAATGTACATGTAACTCCCCTAAAATCCCTCTGCTCCAACTACAAACTTACGTGTGTCTGCCCCAATCATTTCTAGCACCCTCATCCCCAAGTCTCAACTAGTGTCAAGACACCCCTCAAATGATGACAAAGGCTAATCCCTCCCTTGGTCTGTACTCTTCGGCCTTCCCTGCGCTCTGGCTTGAGCTTTCGTCACCTCGATTTTCTGCATCTCCTAGACCGCTGGTTTCTTCCCTGTGGCCTGCAGTGTCTAACACTGCAGAGACATCTTTCACACTCACAGCGCATCATCCATTCCTGCGGTTATTTAAATAGTTAACGCTATTGTTATTGCAGATGTGATAAATGCACTTTGTAAAAATGGAAAGCAACACAGAAAAATACAAGGAGTAAAAATCTCTTGAAATCTCTAACCCAGAGACAACCATTCTGACCATTCTTCTCATTCAGCTTCGGTAGGAGGTACAGCATAAGATTTGACCCTTCTGCAGGTCAGTTCCTCACCCTTCAGCATGATCACTAGTCTCATTTGCTCGAGCAACAGAGCAGTAGTTATATTTATCACACATAATTCTAAGTTTTAGAACAATTACTTTGTGGTAAGTATAACTATTCCCAAACTTAGAATTACATGTGATAAATATGAAGTGTTTGGACTTGGCACTTATGAATTTCTAGATAAATAGCCGAGTATGCTATTACATTTTCACTCCTGGTGATCCTACAGCATGTACACAGAATAAATATAACTTAGGATACACAAAAACAAAATGCAGTTCACTGCTCAGCCTCCTGTGACCCTTCATGCTATGGAAGCCACTTTCTCTGAGGTTACTAATGCCTTGTTAATTGCTAAACCCAGCAGCCCAGCAGTCACCCTACTCAGCTTCTCTGTAGAATCTGACATTTTTGGGTCACTGCCTTCCTTATGGAAATGCCACCTTTTTAGGCCTCCATGACGGGGCTCTCTCCTAATTGTCTCGCTGTGTACTCTGGCCACACACCGGCCTCTTCCCTTGTCCCACCTTCATTATCAGGCTCACACCAGGATGTTCCCTTGGACTTTCTTCCATTTCAGTGTATGCTTTCTTTCTGGGCAGACTTACCAGGACTTAATTATCACCTAAATGTGAATGGCCTCTCCATCTTCAACAATACCATCTCTTCCCCAAGCTCTCGTTTTTTACCTTCAATTGGAGTATCGTATGTCTCATGGGTTGCTAACTATTGAACACATCCAATAATGCCCCAAACATGTCCTCCACTTCCATTCCTTATCTCAGTCCATGGCAGTGTCATCTACCCAGTCACTTGAATTAGAGTCACATGTCACACCTCCTTCTCTCCACCACTGTGACGGGCATGGGCTGTGTATCGACAATCAGCATAATGTAGTGGTCAAGAGCAAGGACTCTGAAGCTGGAGTGCCAGTGTTCAAACCTCACTCTCCCACTTCTAGGTGGGTGATCTTGAGCAGATTCTTCACTGTTCCGTCTCAGTGTACGCATCTCTAAAATGAGGGTAATAATAGTAGCTGTCTCTGAAGGTCCTTGTGAGAATTAAGTAAGTTTGTTATTTATAAAGGACTTAAACCAGCACCTGGCACAGAGTGAGTGATACATACGTGCTTGTTAATTAACTGGGCTCTGATTTGTCCCCACTCTAGTCTACCCTTCACAGGGCTAACAGGTTTTTGAGGGGCTGCCAGTTTTGGAGTGGTCAACCAGAGGCCAGTCATTGTGCTAAGTGATTTATATGTAGAATCTCATTTACTTTTCATAACAGCCTGTTAAGGAGGTGCTAATATCCCAATTTGAGAGAGAAAGAAACTGAGACCTTAACAGCTAATGTGCTTTAGTGAAGGCCACACAGATTATAAATGCCAGAGTTCAGGCTTTGAGTCATGCCTGTCTATTCCCTGAGCCTGTGTTCAAAACCAGGAAGCTATACTATACCACTTTCCCAAGGCTGAGCAAGTCACTTACAGCTTAAACTTCTTTAAAGACCCCACACTGCCTGTGCTGACATGAGCTATTCCTTCACAATCTTGCTCCAACTTAACTTTGTTTCCTGCAGATTCCTTCCGTGTGGAGCACCCTTTCAGTCCTTCTTCCCTCCTCCCTTCTTTCTTTCCTTTGTTCCTTCAATATTTTTTGAATGCTTGAATGCCGCCAGGAACCAAGTTAAACAGGAGAAAACAAGAGAGATGAGCAACTTGTCTTCCAGGAGCTCATAGTCTGACACAAATTACTGCTGACAATAGAAGAGTGTGCACCAGGTGGATGTGGGGCCCCAAATAGGGAAGGGAGAGGAGGGAATAGGGAGAGTTTCTCTGAGGAGGAAACATGTAGTTGCCTTAAAGGATATTCTGGTCAGACAACTTTTTGCCATCTGTTAACAATCCTGACTTCTTGTTCTTTACCTTTGAAAAAGGTAAAAAAAATTGTTGGGCTTTTTCTCTTGGTCAGATTGCTGTTTAAGACTGTGTTTCAAAATTACCTTCCCTGGGTCACCATCCAGTTGGATTGTGTTTCCTGGTCCACACCACAATTAAACACATATCACACTGTGGTCTAGCTGTTGGTCTATCTGCCTGTCTTTCTGACTGGATTGTAATATCTTCAAAAGAAAATATAGTCTTATTTATTTTTTAATAGTCCTTCATTCTCGAAGTGGAATGACTGGCATATTATAGTGCTTAATAAAGTTCTGTTAAATGAAGAGTTGTCTATTTACAAAAGAAAGTGTAATGCTGGACCCTTCTAATTCAGAGTAAAGCTATTCAGAGTATCAGTCATAGCACTTTGCCCAGTACTCTACAGAAAGTACCTATTTCAATAAAGGCTAAGTGTTTGATGGTTGTATCAGTGAAATACCTGAAGTAATGCTAAAAATAAGGAAACATTATTAGATCTACTTCTGTATAGAAATTAGGATTTTCATGTCCAACTGAGTGTCTGGACTTCAGATCAGGCATGAGAAAAACTAAGAGTTGTTGGTTATACAGCTGGTATTGAGGATTTCTTTTCTTCTCTGGGTTGGGCCATGGTTCCAGAATCTTATGCACAGTAAGGCACCAAAATACAGTGCTGTTGGGAGCAGGAAGCCATAGTCTACAGGAGTTGCTGCCAAGAATCTACCATTCTAGTCCATTCTGGCTAACGGCCCAGCAAACTCATTTGCAGCTGCTCCTGGTTCCGTCCTCTTAGGCATACTGTGCAGCTATTTCCTCTCTGTGGTTGTGCCTTCTTCCTGGGCGCACAGCCCTCTGTTTCACCTATCTCTTTCTCCTGGCAACAGTTTACCTCCAGTAGAAGGGAATTTTTATGGTAGGCAGAGGGTATGGTGTTGAGAGGAGTCCTCACTCTTCCTCCTCTTCTTTTTTTGACCTTAACTACCTTTCCACCAGAGGTTGTTGTATAACAAAAGTCAGAAAGGTTCATAGCTTATGCCTATTTTCCATTATGCCTCATCCCTCTCCTGAGAAAATGATTGCAGAACGCCTACTGGCATGAATTAAAAGGAAGGGAAAGGGGAAAAATACATGGAGGGCAGAAAAAAAGCCAAAAGCATAGACTGTCCTGGTATCTCAGAATACTGTCCCAGTCACAGTGGTCCCCTAGTTTCTGGGTCTCATAAAAATTGTGAGAATTAAAAATTGAAGTACATGTAAGGAATTTAGAATAGCGTTTGGTACATGGACAGTGAGTGTTTAATAAATGTTAGCTATTACTGTCTAGGGCTCCTTCATTCAGGGAAGGACTTAAGTTTCTGTCCCAAGGAAGGTCTTCCAGGACATTACTTTTATACTGGAAGTAGTGCCAAGCTGTGTGAAGCATCTATTCCCCATGCTCCTGGAGGACAGTTCAGTCTGTATACTGGTCCCATTTCTGGTCTCCCTGGGAGGTGAGGTTGCTACCCTACCTCCAGGGGATTCTTTTTTCTCCCAATATTGGTTTCCCTTTCAACCCTACCCCTAATCTCCAGAAAGTTCACTCCCAAGTCCAGTTGGTTCACCCCCTTCCCCAACCCCGCCCTGGTCTGAGTCAAGTTGTTGTTACTGGCCTTTCTGATAGACCTGGGACTGATAATTACATTGAAATTCAGAAACGGCATGCAATTTTTGGCACTGATGTCTTCAATTAAATTCAACAAGCATTTATTGAGCTCCTGAAACATGTAAAATCTGGTTCCTTTAAATGCATTTGGCTCTTAACTATTTAGTCCCCTTTACCCAAGTTACTCAATTTGTATTAATTCTGATCCATCCTTAAGGGTTTTATGAAGAATAAATATTAAAATGGAAAATATCTGCACAACTCTTTGCAAATATAAACGTCTTGTGTGGATGATTGTTGCTACAGTATTAATATTAATTCTAATAACAACACTGCAGCTTCCCAGGCAGGCGGTAGAGAGCAGTTTTAAGGCCGAAAGGAACCAGACGGAAGAGGTCCGGGGAGGTGCCTCCAGCAAGACCGGCCCAGAGAAGGCGGGGCCTTAAGGAATGTACCCAAATCCCGCCCCTTTTTCAACCCCTTTCGTTGGCGCGGCGTAGGCGGTTACCATGGCGATGACGTATGGTGGGCGGGGCGAGCGGGGAGGGCGGGGCCATGGAGAGGAGGAGGAAGATGGCGGGAGGGCGGCTCTGAGGAGTCCTCGGCGGCGGCGGAGGAGGAGAGAAACTGAGCACCGCGCCGCGCCGGGGCCCATGTGGGGAGGAGTCGGAATCGCTGTTGCCGCCGCCGCCGCTGCCGCCGCCTGTAACTGCTGGACCCGAGCGGGAGTGAGGGGGAAACGTCAGGATGAAGTTCGCTGAGCACCTCTCCGCGCACATCACTCCCGAGTGGAGGAAGCAATACATCCAGTATGAGGTACCGGCGGCGGCCGGGGTGTGGGAGGACTCGGAGGGGCCCCCGTCTCGCCAGCCCGACCTCTGCGGCCGCCTTCCGCTCTTGCTGCCTCCCCGCGCCGGGGCGGACTTTGACCCGTGCCGCGGGGAGCCACTGCGGCATCCCCGCCGCGCCGGCCCCCTCTGGGGCCCGCTGACCTTCCCCTCCCCCGCAGCCCCGATGCCGCCGGGGTAACGGATAGGAAGGCGGTGGGCCGGGAGGGAGGCTTTGCCCCGCTGGGGCTGGGGCGCGGTGGTGGGAGGGCGATCCGCAGGTGGGGGAGCCCGGGGTGTGAGGACAGCCCAGGTCGCGGCGCTTCCGCGCTACTCCCCTCACCCCGTCACCCCAATCTCTCGTCCCCACCCTGGAGTGAGCACCCCCTGGGCAAGGTTAGCCCTGGTGTCTCTCCCTCCCAGGAACGGTGCTCTTCCGCGATCAGCCCTTCCAGGGGTTGCCGTCATCCCACGGAGCCCCCCGGCTTTCCCCCACTTGCCCGCGGTTGACAAAGGCTTTGGAGCAGGGTTGAAACTTGACTTAAGTGTGTTGTCACAGAGGCAGTGGTTACAGAATGCAAACGTATTGTATAATCAACTATTCTTGTTTGATAATAAGACTGGTCTTTTCACTGATTGCATGAAGTACACAAAGTCATCCCATCTTTGGTTTTGGCTCTTCTGTTGTTTTGGAAGGGAGGGAAGAGGAAGGAGGACAGAGAGAATTATTAAAATTTTCAGGTTTCCCCCCCTAAAATTTTTGTGAACTAGGGAGGAAAGTACTATATTGTAAACAAATGTACTTGAAACCATACCTGTGTATTACTGAAATCGTGCCCCCCGCCCCACAATTTCTGTGCGAACAGTGCCTGGAGGGTATTTAATAGGTGGTGATAAGGAACCTTCCATTAATACAGGGGAAATTACAGGTAATGAATCCGTTTATAGACTCAGAAGGTGAGATACCTGAAGGGCTGTAAGCATCGCAATAGGTTTTCGGTGGCTGGCAAATTCACCTCCTGGATAGAGAAAGGCAGACTTATCTGTAAGCTCCAGGAATTCACATCTGTGGTATGTGCAAGAACAAAGAGTATAAAATCAATACGAACACAAATATGCTAGCTAGATTTTATGAAATAAAATATTTTAGTTCTCTAATTTCTATTTAAGTTCAGTGATGGGATGTTTAGGCAATAGCACATTTATTGATGTAGCAGTTGTACTAATTGAAGAAGACAGAAAGGGATGTAGGTAAGTTAAACAGAACCTTGGAAGATTATAAAATAAATTCAGCTTGTAATAACATGCAGTATTTGATTATTGCCAGAAATGAAAGGCCTAAAGTTATTAATGCTTTTCTTGTCACTTAATTTTCTTACAGTGTTTTGTGGCTCCATTTGTAAGAATGAAATAAGGGACTCGCTTTTCAGCCTGGAGAGTTTTTGATTTATTGTTCCTAATAACATTCGGTCAGTTTTAAAACCTTGGCTAAGGTCCAGACGATGGTTTTTATTGAGAGGAGGGTATTGGTCTTTCATGTTTCTAGTAATTTTCAGCACCACTGCCAGCTCTTCATAGAGGCATAGGACACAGCATGCCGAGGCAACATCTTGCACTTGCTGTATAGTGTGGCTTGCTTGATTGGGGCAGACGTAATAGTGGCTGTGTGCTGTTACTTATTTTCAGTATTACAGCACTTAACTATTTCATGGAATTTTATATTTCATAGAATTTCATGTTTCCTATTAATTTGGCATATCTCAGCTAGAAGTGGAAACATGATTTAGTTTGAAAATGCAATTACCTCTTGATTTGTAATGTCAGCTTTGTGGCTGAAATACCCCCAGTAATTCTGGGGCTCCTCATTTACATACTCCATTTGGATATTAGTCTTAAATGACTACTCCAGGTCAGTCCGGACGGACAAAATTCTTGAGCATGTGTGTGATTGCATTATTTTTCCTGGGCCAGTTATAAATAATTTCATTTACTGTGGATAATTGAAATTTTATTCTGCAGAAGTCCCTACAGTGTGACTCCTGTCCTGGATAAGCTCTTTGTTTGGCAGGCAAAATTAAAAGAAGGGGCACTTTTCTTTGTGAATTGGAGTCATTAAAGACATTAAAAAAAAAATAGGGCTAGGATCTATGTGTTGTATATTGTTTCTTTAGAGCTGGTGCTCTCCTTTCAAAATACTTAAAGGGGCATAAGTAAGAGTATTTAGAGTCCAGAAATGTTGGCATCTTAAAAACTTAGGGGGAAAAAAGAACATCATGAAAAACAGCCTTTGCTAGAGAAAAGAACTTTCTTTTAATGCAATAACGTGTAGTTTCCCATGGATGAAGACAGTGCTCTTGAAACACTCTTAGTAGGACAGACACCTGAATTTGTTATTCAGGCATGGGTGATGAAATTTTGGTGTATTACCCCTGAATTCTAGCCTCGGGCGGTTTCTAGTTCTCTGAACCACTATGCTTTATCTTAGGTTTTTGTGTTATTTCACTATATTAAATTTTACTTGAAATAAGCAGAGCATTACAGAGAAGCTGACAACTTTGTTTTATACCTATAATTATATGTATTATTGTGTGTGTACAGTCATACAATAAGTGCTAGGTCTTGTATATGTTAGCCATGAGACCCTGGGGACAGTCTTTTTGCCTTTCCAGGGCTCTTTCCTCCTCCATAAAGTAAGAATATAGGGCCAGAGCTTTTCAAGGTTCATTGTAGTTGATAGGTTTTGATTGAACTTCTGATTTTTCTTTCTTGGATTGTTAAAATTATTTTTGTTAGTGACCCATCAATATCCTGAAAATTTTTGGAGTTTCTAATTTAAAAATAAATTGCGGAGTTCCTAGACTTGGTCTTCATAGGCAGTATAATAAAGCATAAAAGGATAGGGCAATGTGGAAAACCACATAAAGAAAATCCATTTGACCTATTTCTAAATAGTTTTTATAAAGAATAAACACGAATGAGCATGGACTATTCCTGTTTTCAGTAATCTATTTTTCGTGTAAATCTTGGCATGTAAAACAGAACATTAATAAATCTTTGTAAGGATACTTTAAAAAAATTAGAATTCTTGATTGGATATTTAGAGTTCTGTAATTGATTAATCAAAATTAACTTAGACCAGTTTCAACCAAATAGACTAGTATGACCATGTTAATATTTTACAGAATATTAGCAAAAGAGGCAAATATATGTGGTGCCTTAGGCTGCTGACTTGTGTTTTCTTCCCTAGGGCCCTGTGCTCCTTTGGTTTCTCAGGAACCAGAAAATTTTTTTTTTTTAGTGTACGTATACTATAGTTTTTTAAGACACTAAATTAATGAGGTATCTAAATATTAGGATTTTAGAGTTTAAAGGAAATTCAGAGACTATATCCTTATTTTCTCAGGCAAGGAAACAGGTCCAGAGAGGTTAAGTCACTTGTCCAGGTTCATGTATAGATAGGTAGTCTCTTGAGCACAGATGTTTAAGTATTGGGAGTCAGGTCCCCCTATCCTAAGTGACCCTGATTAAATCACTTTTTCTCTGGGCTTTAGGTTCTTTATCTGCAAGGGGAGCCAACTGGATTTGATGGTTTCTAAGTCACAGCCCTATATTTTCTAAGGACCCATCTGGCTCTGTATTTCTGCATGTTTTTATGGTTTAATTATTTTTTATATATGAAGAGGAAAGAATTTAAAGGACTATTAATAACATCCTTTTAAATTAATAGTGTCCTTTTAAAATTTTTTGATCACACTTTAATCTGTAAATGGAAAGGTGGCCTAAAGAAACTCTTTTGTTTAACTTAAATAAATAAACAGTTACGGCAATGGATTAATATTTTTGTTTCAGGATTTGGGAGAGATTCTGCATAACTGCACATTTCTTATTTTCAAGTATAAGGCAACAGTGCCTTAACATGATTGTGATTTTCATTTATAGAACTCTCCCATGAGAACGCTTGTGTTGCAAGCTTCAATTTCCCAAAGGCACTGTGTTGATTAGTCAGGGTTAACTTGCCTTGCTGGAACTTGTTTGAAATTTCCAGTTTGGCCACCCGATGGGGCACAAACCACGCTTTTTCTTTTAGTCCTTCTGCAAATGAAAGTGAAGTATAGAATATTTAATATAATACTTGTAAATGATTGTGTCAGTAAGATGCCTAGCATTTACAAGTGTTTCTTAAATGAGAAAATGAATGTATAAGACAGGAGGGCATTACTATTCATTATTATCTTTGTATAATGAAATGTTTTAGGGTAAGTATCCTGGAAAGATTATACTTGTCCATCCGTCCTTGCAAGTTGGTTTTGAAACAGCCTTTGGGTGAAGGCCCAGATCATAAGAAGCTAAGAATCTTACCTGTCCTGGGGTGACCACGAAAAATTAGTCCTGGCTTCAGATCTAGTTCTAATCTGGAAAGTGTTTGAGAGAGTGATTAGTTGTGCTGGTTCAGGGGCTCCATAGATCCCCAAAGGAGAATATCCCAAATTCCCATGGAGTAAGAGAAGATAGAATTATTAGTTATAGTCATTTTTGTGCATAAGGCAAGGAAGAAATAAAATTTTACTAATTAATAAGTGGATGATGTGGTGATCTTGTTTAGGAGGCATTCTGAGGGAATTTTTCACTTTATAGTCATAATCAAGTTTCAAAATCAACTGAATCCTGAAGTTTGAACTAGAATGCTGTATCAAAAAAAGTTAAGATTTTTAAAAATAATGAAGCTTTTCAGTTATGTCGTTCTCCCATCCAAGTACTAACCAAGCCCGACCCTGCTTAGCTTCTGAGATCAGATGAGATCGGGTGTGTTCAGGGTGGTATGGATGTAGACCAGTTATGTTGTTCTGTTAAAAGTATGTTATTGATGATAATTTCTTAGATTAAAAATATTTTTGTAGTATTCATAAATGAAAAGTAAAATTATTTTATCATTGTCTCATCTTTTAATAACTTCTGTTTTAAAAATTCTGTGTTTTATAATGTACACAG